GGGGCGTCGTGAGTTCGCTGCTTGGGAACATTTGGGGTTGAGGGGTTAGCAGGGCTTTTGGGGGTTTAGGGTTGTGGGTTGGAGGGGGTTGCGGGTACAGGGTTTGGGATTATAGTAAGGGCCAGGATGTTGAAACAGCACTACCTTAATGCCATTGAAACAAAACATACAAGCATAGAGCACCCCCGGCACTGACCATATATACCAAGAACATGCTCTGACTTCACTTTTCTTGCCTGGACTTTTGAAAATAGCAGGAAAAAAACCGTATAGACCTTGCTTTCGCCCCGTATCCTATCCTAAAAACTTATTAGCACCTGGCCTCATCGCCCTCCTCGCTGGCTTGTCCGGCGCTCGCCTGCACCGGCAGTGAGCACTTAAAAGGTTCCAGGTTCTCGTGCTGTGCTGAGGTTTTTGGGGCTCCAGCTGCCCACATGGTCGGTTAGCACAGGGTTAAGTACGATATGTGTTGTGTAGCTACTCTTTAGGCAACCCAAGACACTGAAAACTGAAGCCAAAAACCCACTGTCACGTTGAAGCTTGAAGAACTACGACAATTTTATCCCCTTACAGTGGCAGCCCCTCTATTGGGAAAAAGCACCCCGAACCCCATTCGATTCATTAAGGCTCCTTTATGGCCCCCGTACTGCTCTGAACCTTCATGGCTTCATGGCTCAGAGCAAGAGGTGGCCTGACCCGGAGTGTTTGGCGAGCGCTTTGAGAAGGGACTGGATCCGAGTGTCCTGGACCAGGCGAGCCAGGAGGACTTGGGATTTGCGAAACCCTAGACTAGCTAGAGGGATTATGCTTTGAAGTTGGGCACAGAGGCGTCAGATTTAAGATCCGAAAGCTTGAACAGCTTGGGGCTGAGGTCAGCAAGGGCTTCGTAAACCAACAAACCTACAGACCCTTAACTTCATAAACCTTAACCGGTGGCTCCGAGGGAGGTTGAGAAGCACACAGAACGAGGAGAACTCAACTCAACTTAACCCTACACCCCCCTGCGAGATAGAAGGGGCAGGCAGGAGGAGGAGAATTCGCCTTACCCCTAAACCCCCCATTGAGATGGGGACCATGATAGCTGCATGCGAGTAGGTGCTTGAACCGTTTGGTAAGGGTCCAGAAGTATCCAAATAGGAAGGTTTTAAGCACCAAAACCCATTCACATGGGCGCTTGGACTCTCTAGAAGTATGATCCCGATGCCAGGTATGTTCGCCATGTTGCGACTTGAACCCCCGCTCTATCAAGCCCCGGGATGACTGGAAGTCAGCCTCACAAGTACCAGCTCATGCTTTAGAGCTTAGGGGGTTGAGGGTTTATAGTGGGATACTTGCTTGATGGACCCCCTGAAAACGGTACCCACCTAGTCTGAAATCTCTACATTTCTTCTGCCTCTGTTTGGCGTACTGTAGCTGTTTGATGTTGTCGGCAGAGCACTGAAGCAGGAAACTGTGTAATGGGACTCATCTTCGGAGACCATGCATCTTTATTGAATAGACAGGCCCACTAGGGGCCTTGATAACGAGAGCACACTGGTGGAACACTTTGTGCTAGAACTATTCTGGGACTACAATGGATTAGTACCAATAAAGACCGAGTAAGACCCCTATATTACCCTGAGGCTCCATGTACCCACGTAGTATATACTTAGGCCTTCAAGTACCCATGCAGGGACTACTTTGGGGCTTAAGTATCTACTATAACGGTACATGGAGCCTTTGGGTTAACTGTATCAAAGCCCAATTACAGAAGGATCTTGCTGATGCTCGCCCCGTTGCAGAGCTTCGGGCGGTAGAGCCCGAAAATGCAGAAGCAGGAGTAACAACCCCTGAGGGTCCATGTACCCACATAGTATATACTTTGGCCCCAAAGTACTCCCTACATAGATACATTGGGGTATGTACTATTTGGGCACAAGGACCCTCAGGGAATGGCAACATAGCAACCATTACCTGCAGCGAAGCAAGGTGTGAGATGATAGCAGCGTCCACAGCAGTAACTGGCAGTGTGCGTACAAGAACTAGCAAGAGTGCCAATCACAGTCAATGCATGCCATGTGTGCAGTGATCCAAGGTAGTTAACGACAACCGCACCAGAAATCAGCTATTTTGGCATACCGATAGTGATAAAAGCAAATAGGGCGACAATGACAATACTGCAACCAATTTGCCGATATTGCCACTGACAAGACAAGACTAGAAATAGAAGTAAGCAGTAGCGCCGGAAGGAACATATTTCTTTGAAAGGATCGGGATAACTAATCCACACCAGAGAGAAGGTAGTAAGGGCGAGCACTGTTGCAATCAGCCCCTTTCGGAATGAACGCAGAGCAAGCATCAGGTCAATGCTGGGAAAAGAGGACGCCGTAGCCACTGATCTTGTCGTCAATCCCAGCTACACGCAGGAGGCTCCAAAGAAATGCTTGCGTCGAAGTCACCACCGGCTTCCGGAAAGAAGACTCCAAATCGTCAATGAATCCTGGCTCGCAGGCCCGCAGAGCACTACAGCCAATGACAACCACATCGGCTTCCTCTGAGTCGATGGCTGCCGCCCAGGCTTTGATACTTTCTTTCGAGACCTTATCGGTCTGCGCATCGTGCGTCAGGCCCATCGTGGCATGGGACACTACCCGAAAACCTTCCTTTTCCAACATCTCCACATTCTTCGCGGCCACCTCGTGTATGTATGGGGTCACCAGGGTCAGCGAGGTCGCCCCTACAGCGCGCAGAGCTGCAACCTGCGCTCTAGACATGTCAGTGACGGCCGCCTCGGGGCACACGGGCCTAAGCTGTGCGTCAACGCGCTCGGGACCGAGGACAAAGGACATTGAAGTACAGGAGAGGCCAATGGAGTTGAACTCGTGGGGTAGAAGCGTCTCTGCGGCCTTCCGAATGTGCTGAGAGGCTGCTTCGAAAGTCTCCTCTGAGATAGCCTCTGAACTAAACTCGAGCTTCTGCATCCGGAGCACGACGCCTGGAAAGTTGTGTATCAGAAGAGGGCCCTCACGGTCGAGAACCGTGTCCGTAGGAATTTGCACTGCGACGATGGTGGCACGCGGAGCGGACATTCGAATGGGTGGCAAACACCGGTCTGCATCGTTCGTCATCGTATCGCATGAAGGACGCAATGTGGAGGCCCTACAGGATTACTGTAGCCTTTGTATAACTGAACAGCAAAACATAACAGTTCGCTAAAGGATCAAGTTGAGTATAATGGACAGCGCAGTATAACCGAAGGCTTGTTGTATGTAGAGCTACATGTGAGGATGCAGGCTATTGATGGTACGGCCCGTAGTTTTTTAGATGCCGTGAACCTTCTCAGAAAACCCCACTCCCCCATAAAGGGACTCTTGGGCCACATAGGTCTTCTTGCTGTCATCTCAGCGATGATGAGCTCGATGGTACCGACGGTTTGGCGATGTTTACCGTAAGACTCTGAAATCTAAGCACCAATCTCTAAATCGCGCGGAATATGCCATGACGTCTTTGCTGGGATTTCGGTGAGTTTCTGAGTAGTATGATGAGTACAACGAGCCGGCAAGGAAGATCACGAATGTGTGAGGCTCCTGTAATGTACCTATTATAATCCATAAACCACAACCTTTAAACCCGAAAACCTTTGATGCTCAGGATTGATTTCGCTACGAGTCGATGCTGCTCTCGGGCTCCTATTCATACCCAAGTAGTCCTCATTTGTGGGTTTCGGTACCTAAAAAGGCCCAAAAGTCCTATAGTAATGGGTACTTGGACCCTTAGGGTCATAAGTATTTTATTCTATGGGCTGCAAGAGCGTGTCCACGGCAAACAGAGATAAACAGTAGAATCCTTACTATACAGCCCCTTAGTAGAAAATCTCCTAGTTTGGGAGATTTCCATATGTATATGCATACATATGTATGTATGTGTGTATGTCTGCATGTCTTCACATCTGTATGTCTGTATGTATAAAGATACTCTATCATAAATTCGTATGTGTATATATATGTATATATATATATATATATATGCCCCCCCCCCCCCTGCAGAGGCTTCAACGCAATTTAGACGGACTTGGAGTAACTAGGGCTTTCAGGCAAGGCATTGCTGAGGGATGCTTCGGTTTTTCTTCAGGGGTTCAAGGGCCCGGCGTCTCCTTCGGGTTTTGAGGGCCATTGCACTATAAGTACAAAGAAGAACCCCCACAAATAGTAGGTAATTATTTAGGCCCCTTTCTTACGCAATACAAAACCTCCAGACTCCTTCGCTCCTGTTTGCCTACGCAGGGTTTCTGAACTTCTCATCCGTGAACCAGGGGTCGATTTCAACAGTCCCTCTAAAAGGGTGTAGGGTTTAGGGTTTAGGGTACATATTTTCATAGAGCTCTATATTGAACAAAGAAGGGAAGTGAGTTTTTTGCCATATCGGTACCTAGTGAAGTACAAACGAAGCTTTTGACTGCACCGACCTTGGGATCCGACAACGGCAACGCCCAAAACAAAAGGAACGTGGGCTGAGTATGCAGCTCAACAAATCAGCATCTTCCATGATGGTGGGACTACACAAATCCCAAAAGGTTAAAGGTTACCTATGCAGCTATTAAGTTGGGTGTTAGGGCTTTGGATTTCCATGACAAGCATATTGCAAGCGGATCATACCTTTGAGAACCCTGCAGGAATCTCAGGGACACGTGAACATAGAAGCCCGATACACATCCTGACACAGCTATTCACATCCCGAATCATTCACAACCCCCCTGCCCATCAAACAAAACCTGAATAAACTGCCCTATATGCACAAATACTCTATACAAGAGAAAGAGAGAGAGAGAGAGAGAGAGAGAGAGAGAGAGAGAGAGAGAGAGAGAGAGAGAGAGAGAGAGAGAGAGAGAGAGAGAGAGAGAGAGATAGCGAGAGAGAGAGAGAGAGAGCGCATGAAACACATTGTCATACCTGCAAGGATTCCGAAACAACTCTTGAAACACCCTCACAAATCTCTGAAGCCATAAGTAAGTAAACCCGCGCCTGCCCATGCTCCGTGCAGCGCTGGACGCTGGACTCCGCGCCACGGAGCTAAGGCGAACGAGGGTGGTGCCAACGGACCGAGACCTGGATGTGGGGCGCTTGTTTAATGGTGTAGGGCCCTAACCCTAAACCCTAAACCCCTGAACCCCTAACCCCTATAAACCCCTAAACCCTATAAACCCCTAAACCCCTAAACCCTAAACCCCTAAATCCTAAACTCCTGAACCCTAAACCCTAAAGGATTGGTTCAGGGGGCTACCCAAAATACGGACCGAGACCTGACTTGAGCGCCTGCTGTCTGTCTGGGTTCACGCGGCCTGATATGGGAGTTTGCGAAGATAGGGGAGGCAGATATCTAGGATACCCAGTAACCTAAGAATAAAAAGGCCTCTCTTTTTGGTATTGGGTAACTTTATAAGGAACCTAGGACTACAAAAAGGGAATAAGGGTACTACTGGGCATCCTAGATATAGTACCCCAAATAGTACCTATAGTCTCCATTGTAGTTCCTTTTTGGGGCTCCCTTTTAGGATCCCTAATATAGAATTGGTTAAACCAAGAGAAGGAACTACAATGGAGACTATAGGTAGGATCCTTATCCTCATTATAAGGACCCCAAATAAGGTCGCCCTAATTTCGGAAACTCCGATATCATGGCAGCCTCGTTTAATTAGGGCTCTATACGGCTTTTCGGAGGGCTCAGTGCAGGGGTGTGCTAAGGGTTTCACATGGTACATGCAAGCAGACACACGCATGAATGTCCTTTCTAATTAATTATATTTCCTGATAGAAACCCTGTTCTGTGAGTCGAAAAGCCTCCTCCGCCGCCGCCAAAAAGAAGAACTGCTACAAATCCAGGGCAAAACCTCTGAAAACCATAATCACAAGTTTCCGCAAACATGAAACCCCTTGTGCCACCCTTTGAAAGTCCTGTATACCGCTGCCACGACTCTACAAAACCCTCGTTCAACACCCCCCTTCAAGAAATCGTTTGAAGGGCACTGAAGAAACCTTTCAATCAATGCAATATTTTCCTTTCAATCGTTTTCGCCGTTACAGAAACCGCTCGAAGAAACTGTAAGCAAAAGCCTCAAAGCACCTCTAACCCTAAATCCTAAAGCCCAACTCTCAATCAAAGCACCTCTGACCCTAAACCCCTAAACCCCTAAACCCTATAACCTAAACCCTAAACCCCTAAACCCTGAACCCCTAAACTCTCACTCAAAGCACCTCTGAAAGAGACTATACCTCAAACCATATTAGGGATCCTACTATAACTTAAGGTATAATTCCTTATTAACCCTAAGGCTCCATGTACCCACATAGTATATACTTAGGCCTTGAAGTACCCATATAGGGACTACTATAACGGTACATGGAGCCTTTGGGTAATTAAGGGTCAAAGCACCTCTGAAAGAGACTATACCTTAAATCAGATTAGGGATCCTACTATAATTTATGGTATAATTCCTTAATTAATGGGATCCCTACTATAATTCAAGGTATATATTCTTTCATTTATAAGGGAATCATATTAGGGATCCTACTATCATTGGTATATATTCCTTAACTAAGGGTCAAATGCACCTCTAACCCTAAACCCTAAACCCCTAACCCTAAACCCCTATACCCTAAACCCTAAAGCCCAACTCTCAATCAAAGCACCTCTGACCCTAAACCCCTAAACCCCATAACCTAAACCCTGAACCCCTAAACCCTGAACCCCAAAGCACCTCTGAAAGAGACGGGAGCTGCCGTTGCGGATGACGTCCGCCGCTGAACCGAGGCTCGGCCTCGTCGGATTTAGGAGTTGGGGCATATGAAGGGGAAGTATAGAAGGCATATAACGGATATACATATATATATATATATATATGTATATATATATATATATGGGGTATATAAAGGGTCTATAACAAATGTCTATGTATATATATATATATATATATATACACATACATATATATATATATATATATATACATAGATACATAGATACATAGATAGGTTGTATAAGGTTTAGGGTATAGGGTTTTGGGTTCAGGGTGTGAAGTTAGGTAGAGTTTGGCTTGGGGTTCGGAGCTTTTAGAAGGTGTTCTCTGAAGGGATGTTGTTCTGACAGAATGTTGGTCGGGGCTTTCTCGGTGCTAAAGTGGTTTGGGGTTTGGGCGCTCTCTAACCCTAAGGGTCCAAGTACCCAAATAGTAGGGGTTCAAGGTCCAAAAACCATTCAGGGTATGGATTTTGGGATTTAAAACCCTACTATTTGGGTACTTGGACTCTCTGGGTAAGACTCTTCACTCGGGGGCTCTGTTAAACTTAGAGCTGCATACGGGTCTTTCCCGAACCAAAAACCGTCAACGCTAGGGTCCCTAAACGACCTTGACCAGGAAAAGCAAAGCCAACACTGACACCTAAACCGCGCCCGAACCCAAACCCCATAACCCTAAAAAGCTGAACAAAAATGGGCACACCGGACCTCTCCCAGGGAGGCATCTGCCGCGAAACCGTGGAGACCGTTGGCACTGGCGGCTGTGAGTTCCGCATGCGCCTAAGCCCAGAGTTTGGGCTTCAGGTTTTTTTTTTTTTAGCTTCAGGGGTTTAGGGTTTAGGGTTTAAGGGTTAAGGGTTTGGGAGTTTCTGAAAATTAGGGGTATCCTATTTTGGGGTCCTAATAATGAGGATCCTAATATTTGGGGTACTATATTAGGGCCTAGAGTTTGGGTTAAGCCCAGAGTCTTACCTTTGGTTAGAATGGAGTACAATTAAAACTACTATTGCTACTATTATCACTATTATTACTACTATAAATATTATTACTGTTACTACTATTATTACGATTATTATTATTATTATTACTATTTTTACTTTTATTACAATTACTATCATTACTATCATTACGATTATTACTATTATTACTATTATTACTTTAATTACTTTTATTACTTTTATTGCTTTTATTACTATTACTATTACTATTATTACTATGGTTACTATTATTACTATTATTACCATTCTTCCATTCCCTACGAACCAAAGGCCCAGAGATTGGGTTTTAGGGGCTTAGGGTTTAGCCGTACGGGTGCTCTGCTTCCCATGGCCAGCTAAGACTCAACCAAGCAACCCCAAACCCGAAACCCAGGGTTTAGGGTTTAGGGTTTAGAACAGCCTTCTTGATGTGCGATGGTTCCGCGATGTGCCAAGGCATGTTACGAGGATTGGACGGCCTGCGCTTGTACGGTTTAAACCTGGCGCCACAGCCATACTTTGGCCACAAAGCCACGTCCTCTGTGTACCTCGCTAACCCTAAACCCTTAACCCTTAACCCTAAACCCTAATTCCGAAACCCTAAACCCTAAGCCCTAAGCCCTAACCCCTAAACCCTCAACCCTAAACCCATCCAGTCTTGGAGCTCTACATCTCCGGGGGCATCACTAGCTCAAGCAGGTTGGCTCGCTGAACTGTGCCCTGTTTGCCCTTCTTGTCATTCCAGTCGCCAGTGCAGGCCCTGCATACAGTGAACATCCTCATGTCAGACGTCAGGGTGTCAGAGACGTCCAAGACTATCAGGAAGGCTGTGTAGAAGGTGTTCCACTAGGCTCAAGTTTCTTCAGTCTACTAAACCCTGCTGTTTCTCTTTCTGCGAAAGCCTATACTTATAAACTCAGTCATGCTCCTCAATGCAAGGGCTTTGCCGTCTTTGGTTGTACAGTCGTTCGAAATCCAGATCTTGGGAGTTCCATGGCCTAAAGGGCTTCGTGGACGTTGACGTGCTTGTGGGATCTCCCTAAGGTTCCATGTAATTACCTATGCAGTATAGACTTCAGCCTTACAGTGCCTTTTCAGGAACCCCTGTAAGGCCTAAGTATATACAATGTAGGTACATGTAGCCTTAGGCTTTGTAGGACTTTGGTAGGCTCATGATCTAGGGCTGGTGGTGTTCAGGCGCTATCTGTTTATGTGTCTTGGTAAACGCCGTGAACAGATATTCAAGAGATATTTGCCCTATCATCAAGAGGTCGTAGCCTACTGCATGGTAGTGTTTGGAGCAACATTAAACCCCTAACCCTGAATCCTAAACCCCTACACCAAAACCCAAGAATGAATTATTGTATACCTGCTTTGGTTCGAATAAGGCTCCTAGGCTCATGATCTAGGGCTGGTGGTGTTCAGGCACTATCTGTTTATGTGTCTTGGTAAACGCCTTGAACAGATGTTCAAGAGATACTTGCCCTATCATCAAGAGGTCGTAGCCTACTGCATGATAGTGTTTGGAGCAACATTAAACCCCTAACCCTGAGTCCTAAACCCATACACCAAAGCCCAAGAACGAATTCCTGCATACCTGCTTTGGTGAAAAAATAGGGCTCCATGTAATTACCTATGTAGTATATACCTGAGCCTTACAGTGCCTATATAGGAACCCCTGTAAGGCCTAAGTATATACAATGTAGGTACATGTAGCCCTAGGCTTTGTAGGACTTTGGTAGGCTCATGATCTAGGGCTGGTGGTGTTCAGGCGTAATCTGTTTATGTGTCGTGGTAAACGCCTTGAACAGATCTTAATGGTATAGAACCTCTGTAAGGCCTGCTTTGAAACGTGGGTTTCCTTGGTTCAAGCAAAGCCCAGACCCAACGAGATTCGGCCCTCGAACTCGAAAGCTATCCGCACTCCAGCTTCTGCGTGATATGACAGCGAAGTCTAGAACATATGGGAGTTTCCGAGAATCCGAAATATAGTTATAGGTAGGGCTCGAGGGTTTGGGTTTAGGGTTTAGGCAGCACAAAAATTGATACACCTAGCTCCTGCAGCCACTATTCTGGATTCTAGGGTCTATCCTACTACCTACTGTGGGCTACTTGGAGCCCACGGGTATAGGAGGAAAGGGATCTGCAAACTCTCTGGGGCGTAAGGGCTTATCTGGGGTTTGCGTTCGCGTTTACGGGTGTCAGACCGCGCGTCTCTAGGGTTTACCCTATGCCTCCAGGGACCTATTATGGAGTCCTTAAAGGGTCTAGGGCCCTAACTATGAGGTCCTTGGAGGGATAGGGTTTAGGGTTTAGGTTTAGACCTTGCCACGGGAATGGTAGGGGTGTAGGGCTTCATGAGGATTTCGAGTCCGAAAGACATCCTGTGCGGTACTTTCTTCAGGAAAATATGGTCGTAAGTTGGTCTTGATTGATGGTGGGCATTCTAACTAGGTACTTGTACTGGGCAGATTTGTCTGTAGGGATATAAGGCGAAGGGCTCGACTCCTTAGCACCTGCATGCAAATACTTGCAAGAACCACAATACCAACTTCTCCGCCGGAGGCCCTCCTTAGTATATTAGAGGTGACATACCGAAATCAGTGGCAAATATGAGGCCCTACCGGGTGTTAAAATCCCCACTAGGGTACGCGCTGCAGGTGGAGAGCCGTGAACATCCTGAGTCGGGTGGGTATTCGGAGGTTCTAATGTCGTGGAGGGTCCGAATTTTCCCGCAGTAAAGGCGAGGTTTGAGTCTCCATTGCTCGCAATCTTGCTTCATGGGGCCTATGTTCGGAAAATCAAGGACGGAGGCGTGACGGAGGGTGCTTTTCAGAACAAGCTGCCAAGGCTTGAACACTTAACTCCGCTGAGATCCAAATCGAGATGCTTGGAACATGCACATACAACCTCTGTTAACTCCCGCCGCACCAGTACACACCCACTGCAAGCATGGTAATGTAGGGCCTTAATAACTGGAATAAGGTTTTAGGCCCATTACACTATAATTAAAAAAATAAGGAACCCCAATAGATAATCATGAAGGCCCGTATATTACCACAACACCAAGCCAGCAGCATCTCGGGCTGCAGGCTTTCGCATGCAGCAAGAACGGCTTGCTCAGAACCCAATAGACTTCATCTAAACTGAACTTATAAGCCGAGCAAAAATCAAAATTTTAGCCGTTTCTTAGGGATTGTAATAAACCAAATTAAAAAATATTTCTAAGTAACTCGAAGTCATCGAGGCCCACCACCGGAGACCGAAAGCAAACGCCTAAAATCGTGAAGCTAAGCCCACAGTCTACACACCAAGCACTTAACAAGCCTAAATCCAAAATGGCGCTTAGGTTCTAGAGTTGTGGGTTTTTGTTGAGTTGGTAGGTTCAAGATCTACTAAAATCTGAAGCTTTAGAGCCTTTGGGTTTGAGGGCTTAGTAATGGAGATCTTGGGTTCGAAACTCCTACCCCAACCCCGGTTTAGGGTTTAGGGTTTCGACAGTGCTTCATTCCAGCACCTTGATTAAGCCCGATGGAACTCTACACACCCTAGACGACAAACCACCGAAGTGCGAAACCGAGAGCAACAAACCAAACGGAGTTTCCAAACAACCCCAAGTGCCTATGCCCGCAATATCCAGACAGAAAACATAGCAGTGCATATTCTGCAACGTGTAGGCGATCAGGACACTTCGGGTGAAAGGCCACCCTGCCGCGACCTCTATCTATCATGACCCACTAAATTCCTAAATGCAAAACACCGACCCCTAAAGTATACACGAAACATCGTATAGGAAACGAACTTGCCCGTCTCTTCCTCTCTTGCGCCCGCTGGCATCCGCAAAACCAGGCGTGGCAGCCCCTGGGGTGGCACCCCCCGGCAGGTGGCGCTCGTGAGCTGCAGCTGCTTGCTTCAGTCCGTCTTCGAGTCTGCCAAGCAAATATAGGCCATTTGGCACAGTCTGAGTCTCAGCAGCAGCGGTCCACCATAGCCGACAGGCGCTGCTGGATCTCCTTTTCCATGTCTGCATCTCTGCGAGCCTCTGCCTCGGCCTCGCGCTTTCGCTGAACCGAAACCCTAAGGCTCTAAGGACTCATAGTTTAAGGCTTTTGGGCCTAAAGACCATATTAATATGTAAGGCTTTGGGCCATTTCGAGCCTTAGGGAAACCTTACACCCCCAACCCACCACAGCCAGCCTAAAGTCCCAGCCCCAATCCCACCCTAGACTTGAAACCTAAGCCCAAAATCCAAAACTCCTGAACCTCAAACCCCATACAGGGCTTCGGGCTCAGTTAACTTGAGCCTCAAACCCCACATTCCTTATCCTCCGAGTCAACCCTCCCCCCACCCCGCCGGCCTGACCACTGCATCACGATCTCCAGAGGAGTCAAAGGCGATTGAGCAGCGGCTATGGGTGGAGAACTCCGAATCTGCGCGGATTGGCAGGGGAAGTCTATGGGGTTTATAAGTATGGGATCTATACCTAATCCCGGATCCCTAAACTGTAGTATCTATGGTGCTGTAGGGTAGGGGTTTCCACGGGATTTATTGAGGCGGAGGTAGGTCATGTAGGAATCAAATCTCGAAGATGAGAGATCGAGGTTTCTTCCTGGGTAGCCAAAACCCTGAAGGCTTAAAGGGAACTCCAGAAAGTTGGAATATGGATTCATGGTAGGATCCCCTATAATTTACCTTTAAGGGGTTACGATAATCATATTCCAACTTTCTGGCTTCTACTGTAGGGGCTCTGCCCTCTAGGGCCGTAGTGATGCCCCACTACTTCGCAGGGTTTGGCTTCTTTACCGGCTCATGGCTTCGTAGAGGCTTTAGAGGGTTGATTTGCCTGATTTGTGGCTCCCGGGCATAGGAGTTTATAGGATCTTGGGAACTATAGGATCTTGGGCACGGGACAAAGCCCCACACCTGCCTTCAGGAGTTGGCCTTTGGACGCTGAGTCAAATCAAGCAACCATTGAGGGGGTTAGGGTTTAATGCTCTGGGGTTGAAGGACAGGGCTCGGGGTTTATGGGGTGCAGGGTTTAAGGTTTAGGGCCGTTGCGGGTTTATATGCGGGGACCTTGACGACGCAAGACTTACCGGAAAACCCAAAACCTAAACCCAAAATTTTCAACACCCTAAACCCCACAACCATAAACCCAAAAACCCTGTCAGCTCAACCCGGCAATCCTCTTGGCTTCGAAGTTCTGAAACCAGCCAAAAAAGCCTAGCGGTTAGGGTTAAGGGTTTAGGGGTTTAGCGGTTTATGGTTTAGGGTTAGGCTCTTCCGCACGTGTGCCTGCTGTCCCAGTCCGACATACCTGAACAACCCCTTTACAAATCTGACAATACCACGCACAACATGTCCGCCTATAAAAGACATTACGAAAGCTGGCGAAACCCATTCACAACCGCAGCGCAAAGACTGCAACAAAACCTCGACAAAAACAAGCCTGTCAAAAGCCCTTGTAAAACCTAGGTGCCCGGGCTGGTGCAGCAAATCCCGAAGGGGAACACAGTCGTCTGGAAGTGGCGGTAGTTTGTCGCGGCCTGGTTGGCAAAACGTGCGGAGCTTGAGGCTCATGGGTTTTGGGCTTATAGGGCTTATAAGGGGCTTTAAACTTTAGGGTTTGGTAGGGTTTAGGGCTCTAGAACTTTAGGGTCCAGCTTGTCGCGGCCTGGTTCCCAGAGAATAGGTTCAAGCATGCAGAACTCTTCAGGGGTCAGTGCCAGAGCCCGTTTTAACGTTGAAGGTTTACAGCGCAAAGGCTTCAGTGTTTATGTAGAGAGCCAAAAAACCCAGATACTGGAATAAGGGGCATACCTTCAATCAAATCCAGATTTCCTACGATGATGAAAGATATAAGACAGCTGTACACCTCTATTCCTTGTTTAGCTACTGATTATTCGGAGTTTGTTGGAGAGCCGACATGGCAAACCATCGGAGTGTAGGATGTTGATGCTCCCAGCCCTATCGAAACTCGGTGCCCTCAATCAAATCGGATTCCCCAGTTTCTGAAAGCCTAAACTCGAAACACTGCATGAGACCGAAACCTAAACCTTACCCGGCAGGAACCCCTACTAAACCCTTGAAACCAAAACCTAGACACTAGACTCTCATACAGAATCCTCCCGGCCCCCGCCCCCCCCCCCCCCCCCCGCCCCAATTCTCGGCAAGTTGCAAAACGTGAAACACTGTAAGACTGTCTGAAACCTGAGCCACAACCTCCTCACAGAAAAAGCTGCTCAAAGCAAAAGAGCGTAACGCCCTTTCTACAACTCGCGAAAAACTGGCTTCAAAAGCAATTTAACTCTGATAAATAACTATAACTATGATGAAACTATTTGTTCAAAGAGCCATAAACCACAGTTTAAAGTAATCAGGAAGCCCGCAAAGACCTAAACCCTGAGCCTGAAACCTAATTCTTGCAAGGCGAGCAGCGAAGGACTTGGACAGCAGCGGCATCCATAAGCTCGCCGAATCCCTGGAAACTTTCGGCTATATGGGTTTAGGCTTTAGGAATACATAAAGGTTTGGGGTTTAAGGTTTAGGGCTTCAGAATCGGATCCTAGCATGGTTTCATAGGCACGACAACGGCAAACTCGTCAGATCAAAACCCAAGCCGAATAAACCCCACACCTAAAACACTGCAAACCTTTAAATTTCACATTATCCTAAACACCCTACTTGGAACCTTCGTGACCGCGCCTGCGTGACCACAAGGAGCCATCCGGTTGGATCTGCAGAATCACCCTCGTGGGCGGCGGAACCTCTCCAGGGTAGTGGTACTGAACTGCATCACAACTGCTACGAGTACCAATGGTGATAAAAGTTGTCTTAACTCTGACAATGGTAAGAGCCACGGGCTTACGGCGCGATCCGTGGATGACTTACAGCACAAATGCTTGAACAAGAGTCGGCAATACTACTTAAATCGGCACATCTCGCAATCCCTAAGGGTCCATGTTCCCATATAGAGATACATGAGCCTCAAAGTACCTATATAGGGACTACATTAAGGCCAATGTAGATACTATATGAGTACATGGACCCTTAGGGAATGTGCAAAACACACACATTTGGAACGCGCGTTTCCCTCCCAAGCAATTGAACACAATTTGGACACCAAAGAGCACTGATTCTCAACTATCAACTATACAAGACTAATTATTACAACACAGCACAGCTAACCCTACCTTAACCCTGAAGGACCTACCTTTTTGAGGACTTATATAGAGAAATCATAAAAAAGGAACCCTAAAAAGGTAGGTTATTCAGAGGGCTAAGGTATAGACCCAAAAGCCCAAGGCACTACTTAAAACTCCTAAACCCTAAACTCTTAACCCTAAATTCCCCAAAAAGCCCAAGGCACTACTTAAAACCCTCAGCCCGGAGCCCTCCCTGAACCCTAACCAGGACTCGCCCCCCCCCCCCCCCCCAGGTACCCTTTAAGAGAGCGCGCCCCTATGGCCCTTAATGGTGGGGACCTGGGGTCTATCTTTTGGGAGCCCTTACTTATGGCCCTTAATAGTGGGTACTTGGGGTTTAGTTTAGGGTTTGGGGTTTAGGGTTTCAGAGGGTTTGGGGTCCAGGTACACCCTAAGGCGAACACACCTAAACACGAAGACACAAGCCATCGCTAGGCTGGCGTTCGGGGCCATCCTGTCGTGGCAGCCCAAGGGGCGTCTAGGGCTAAGGGTTTATTGAGGGGTTGTAATTGGGGGTTTGTGGGGTTAGAGGGTCAATTAAGCTCTCGCATTTTAGGGCTTAACTCGAGACTATCGGGCTTAAGTGCAGGGGTGACCTGGACACGGCATATCCAAGATGCGCTGGACAACATCGACAGCATCACCCTCTTGCATGCACAGTGTGCAAGTAGAGCATGTTGCTGTGAGGTTTTGAGCCTTGGACCCACTTGTGGGTCGACTCCGTGACTCCAGAGATTGCCTATAGTCTCCATTGTAGTTCCTTTGTATTTGTTTGACAACTATTCTGGTGAAGATACTCTAATATCGCAGTGGTTAACCAAAAAGGAACTACAATGGAGAGTATAGGTAGACCTTGAAGCACCCGCTTCTGGTTGAACTTGGGAGTGGGCTTGCTGGGTTAGTAGGACTTAAGGCTGGGGGTTTAGGGTTTAGGGTGACGGAGTCTTTCTTCGCGGCCTCCTTACGAAGGGTCTCAACACAAGAGGCAAGGATGGGCACATGGGCACACTAAAACACACTTTAACACGTTGCAACCCAACGCCTCATACCCTGAACCCTAAATGAAACCTCAGAATCCTTGAACCGAGACTCGCCAACTGTAGCTCTTCCTTCCTGAGCCCAAACCAAGCAGCCATTAGCCTCCAACCACAAATCGCAAAGCCATCCCAAACCACCCCAAACCCTAAACCCCGAACTCTGAAGACTAAATCCTAGATCGCCGCAGACCCCTCGATGTCCAAACCCCTCAGACCTTAAACCCCGAACTCTGGAGACTAGATCCTCGACCGCCTAAACCCTATATAACCCTGAAGCCAACATCCAAAACCTAAGCTCTAAACTCAATCATTTTAAGCTTACGAAGCCTCTCTTCTCAGGGTTCGGGCCTCTTGGTCGACGGAGGGCTCGCCGTTGAGTTGCCAGACGGTTCCCATCCACTGCTTCAGGGACAGGTCCTGATGGAAGTCGGGTTTAGGGTGTAGGATTTGTAGGATCTATTAGTTTTGATTGGGCTTAGGGCTAACTAGAACTAGGGTGTATAGATCCTAGGCATTATAGAGTTGAGAAATGTACAGGGTTTAGGTTTTGGGGTTCAGGGTGTCGGATTGAGAGTAACGGGCCAAAGGTACCGTCTGGGCTGATAGACAACTGAAGCAGGTATCGGATTGAGAGTAACTGGCCGAAATTTCCGTCTGGCCTCATAGACACCTGCGGCAGTTCGATGCAGAACTAGCGGATGCACAGCAACGGACGAACCCCCAACCCTAAACAAAACCACTTGGAACTGCAAGATACAGATCTTCCTACTGTCGCCGGGAGCGAGTCTGCACAAGCCTGAAAACGCCAATTGCAAGACACGCCTGAAGACCCCGAAACTATCTATGCTGATCTATCACATCTTAACATCATGACATGTAAAAAGCTGGAACATAAAGCAAAGCTGTTGCAACACTCGGGCTACACAAAAGGATGAACAGGTTGCTGCTTCAGTGGGATAAGCAGACTAAAGCTTTCACAGGCCTTGTTCGTAATGCAGTGTCATACAGAGTGAACAACTCGCCCTTTCAGTTTCCACAGCCAGAAGCGGATATGGGAGTTTCCGAAAATTCGGGGCACCTTATTTCGGGGTCCTTATCTTAAGGATCCTACTATTTAGGGCAAAATTTTAGGGTCCCCTGTTCTCGGAAACCACCATATTGTCTTCAGGATTGCGGACTGGCTTTGGCAAACAATGGAGGTTTCCGGGTATGTCTTTCGCTGCAGCAGCGCAGACGACGAATGTGGTCTTTGTGGTCCTTTGCTTGTGCAATCATTGATTAATTAATTTTGAGGGCGCTCTTGAACTCCACTGCAAATTGTCGAACCGCTAGAATACCCCATACCGCCCTATGTACCTCCTACACCCTCATGCAGCGACACGGCTCCAAGCAAGTTGGCGCAGTCCTCGCCAGTCAGCAGCGGGCGAACCGAATCAGTCAACTGCCCGGCTCGTTCGGCCTTCATTGGGTAGGATGACAATGTAATTAGAACTTGCCCAGAGGCTCCATAGTAGTTCCTTTCGGGATTACCTTATAGGATTCTATACATGAACCCCAAACAGGAACCACCATGAAGCCTTAGGGTAGGGAGTACCAACTCCCACACCCTGAAAGCAATGCTTGACAATGCCATTGAATTCGTCTCGAGACATGTTCCTATTCTGTCTGGTTCTTAGTAGGGAATGCGGGGAATGGATTACAGAGACTGTTAGTGGGGATTACATAGGGCATACTATATAAATCCATTCCCCCACTCTCTACTGAGTTGTCCTTTAAGCCCTTTGAAAATTATTTACTATTATGGTTCTCTACAAATAGTAGGGTAAATTAATTGATCGCAAAGGACAACCCAGCCTAGTCATTTCAGGGAGTACCTGTAGTCTCCATTGTAGTTCCTTTTTGGGTTTTATTTTTGGGGATCCTTAATATAAACTTGGTTAAACCAGAAAAAGGAACTGCGATGGAGACTCTAGGTATGTGTCTACAATTCAGGGCCAGGTCCTGCGACACTGTTCAAACTATCCAGATCCTAAAGCCCGAAACCCGAAACCCAACGGCCCCGGTGCCAAGGGATCCTAGATGTAGACTTTAGATAGTCCATAAGATGTATAGGAGCTACGATAAACTCTAGACCCTAAATCCTTAAAACCCAAGCCCAATCTTACCACTGCTGAAGTTTGAGGCCTGAATGGCTTTGGGCTTGGGGTTATTTTTCGTGCTGTGCTGGAGTCACTTGACGCACTCATACATTCCAACAAGCAAACTAGAGGCAAGCAAAAGTGATCTCTTGCAACACCATTTCGTGAGGGATGCCAGTCAAAGACGAGATGGCGTCCACGATCATGAGCGCATTCTGTGGCTCGGTAAAGCCGGTAACTGTGATGGACCCCGTCATCCCCCCCGTGATCTTCGGATACCCTTCAAGGGTGTGAACATCTGTGATGTATTTTGCCTCAGGCCTCTTCAATCTCGTTTAAATGACTCGTTCTAGGGCAGGCACATCTTCATGCGCTATGTTTTCATAACCTGGCGCAAGAAGTTAAGACTGCGCTTTGGCAGTGAATTCTGTCATCGGGAGTCCATTGCCGTCTGATCCAACGAGAGCTTTACGCGTTTCGGACCATTCTTTCGGAGTTTCTGCTCGATGGCCGATGGGATAACGGGAGTGCCGGACAGTCCCTAAGGCTCCATGTACCTTTATAGTAGATACTTAAGCCCCAAAGTAGTCCCTATATAGGTACTTTAAGGCCTAAGTATGTACTATATTGGTACATGGAGCCTTAGGGAGTGTAGACGATTCAGGCCAACGCGCCTTAGAGGCTTTGTCGGGGCCTAAGAACTTGTAATTACACAACTACATGCGGGTGGTTGTCAAAATTATGGTCCCTTTTTGGTTACCCTAAATAAGCGGTGCCGTGCTATATTAGAGACCCCAAAAAGGGACCATTATTTTGACAACCACACACATGTGTATGTGTTTCTATACAAACACAGAGTACCTGTTCACTTGTTTTTTGGTATAAAGCGGTTCCGAAATCTGCATTGAGGATTACATGCTCGAACCCGTAACCAGAAACTCCTAAACCACAAATAGACCCTGAACCCTAAAGCCTAAACCCTAAAACCTAAATCCTAAGCAGCTTTCAACTCTGTAGTCTCCTAAACCTTGTTTAACCCCTGGACCCGAAAGCCTGAGGTACCGCGGCGACCAAGCCCAGCCCGTTCCAGCTGGCATCCGGATCCTGAGCTCAACTTTAGGGTTCCTTTACACTTAAAGGGTTTAGGGTGTAGGGTTGAAGGTTCAGGGTTTAAGGTTGAAGTTTAGGGTTTAGGGTTTAAGGTTGAAGGTTTAGGGTTTAAGGTTTAGGGTTCCTTTACACTTAAAGGGTTTAGGGTTTTACTTTAGGGTTCCTTTACCCTATAATGGGCTATATAATGGGTATACAATAGGTATATTGAGGGTATACAGTAGAAGCCAAAAAGTTGGATACCCAATAGCCTCAGTCCTTGAGAGAAATTTCAGGGAATCCCAGCACTATTTGGCCTTAATCCGCTTTCCAACTTTATGGAGTTTACTGTAAAGGGTTTAGGGCTTAAGGTTGAAGGTTTAGGGTTTAAAGTTGAAGGTTAGGGTTAGGGCTTAAGGTTTAGGGTTTCCTTCTCACTCACTCAAATGGGTTCCTTTGCACCTAAAGGGCAGAAGGTTTAGGTTTCCTCTAAGATTACTGATAAGGGTTCTCTAGATTCCTTGTACACTTAAAGGCTTAGAACTATAGTTAGGAACCTAAGGAACATTATTGGTAAGTATTTCGGCCTCTTTTCTTCTTCAGACCTCTGCAGTAGAGGCACTTCATCACCGAAACCCATCGAAGCTTCAAAACCTCGAACTCTCCCCCCCGTCTCCGAAGCATATGGGTGGTTGTCAAAATTAGGGTCCCTTTTTGGGTCCCCAGTATAATACGGCACCTAATACTTAGGGTACCCCAAAAGGGGCCCTAATTTTTTTGGAAACTCCCATGTATCCTTCATAAAGCCTGAAACCATGAGCCCTCCAACAACGAAAGCACTATACGACCTTCACGAACAAAGCTAACAACTTCCCGACAATCCTGAGGCATTTGTCAAAGATCATTGCTGCGGAGTGGCCAATACTTTGCATTGTCTACAATGAGGAGATTGCGGTGATGCCTTTTTCTCTAAGCCACGAAACCTAAACCCGAAAAGTAAAACATCCATCACAAGGCCTTCAACCAAACCCCGAACCATCCTGCACCCCTTAACCCGACACCCAAACTGTAAACCCTCAAACCTGTAATTAAGGCTTCATTCAAGGCCGTACACTAGGGATGTTCTAGTTAAGCACTATAACGCGGAGCCCTCCGGAACCCACGATAAAGGGCCAGAAGGACTTGATTCAAGGGCCCTTTCGGGGGTCCTGGTATATTACGTCAACCCGAGGCCGTAAACCCATATTTGGGAGTTTCCGAAAATAGGGGACCCTGATACAGTACGCTAAATAGTAGGATCCTCATCATAAGGATCCTAAAATAAGGTACCCCTAAGTTTCGGAAACTCCCAACCCCTAAACCTGAAACCGTATAGATCCCTTTTAGGAGCCCTTAAAGGATCCCTTTATAAAGGAACCCCAAATTTTCGGAAACCCCCATTTTGACAAACCAAGGCACGTGGAGGCGGCTGGCATTCCGCCACCAGCCGACACCAAACAGCAGGGAGGCCACCGGCTTCATCTGGGCGTTTCCGAAATAGGGGACCTTAATATAGTACACTCAATAGTATGATCCCTACTATAAGAACCCCGAAATAAGGTACCTCTGATGTTCGGAAGCTCCCATCTGAGAGAAGCATTTCGGGGTTTCCGAGAATTAGGGGTTCCTTTAAAGGGATCCTTTAAGGGTTCCGTAAGGGCTTCTATAAGGGATCTATAGGGTTTCGGGTTTAGGGTTTGGGAGTGTCCGAAAACTTGGGGGTACCGAATTTTTGGGGCCCTTACGATAAGGGTCCTACTATTGAGGATGCCATATTAGGGTCCCCTATTTTCCTTGAATCTCGAGTGGCCAGGTGAAAAAAAGAAAGAGCTTTTTGTCTTTTTTCCTATTTTGTAGTTACAGGAGGATATGTGCTTGTTGATTTCAGCATTTGATTCCAGACGTCGATAAAACGGAATGCAAACGATTTGTAACATGCCTTTTTCGAGCATGAGGTCTGACACGAATCAATACGTTTGCAGTGCACTCTGACCTGGGGCTGGGGCCACGGTACAGTTCTGTCACTGGTCTACACGGGACCCAAATGCTTAAGTCTGCACCGGGCAGCCCGAGGTCGTCTGACAAAGTCTTGCGATTCTTCAACGGATTGCGCAATGTGCAGCCTGTGTCTGACTCGTCTGACGATGTGGGCTACTGCCGTAACAAACGATCTTAGCAGCGTTTCACTTCATAAGGAAACATAATACGAAGTGAGACCCAGGCTGCACTTAAATCTGCAAGAGGCACGGATCGGAACCTGAAAGAGGACGATACTCGTCGTCCTTCAGGCTCCGATCCGTGATTCAAGCATGCAACGAGTGCTCCTCAGACTTCTGAATCACCTCCCTTCCGGCAAGTGATTCACCAGCGCAAGAGGTGCCATTCTGAGGCCGTTGTGGTTTAGGGCTTGGTGTTTTTCGGGTTTAGGGCATGAGGGGCTGGACAGTTTCGGTTTCTTTTGCGCAAACGGACAGCCGCAGAGACACTGGCTGGGCCAACCAGTGTCTCTGGGCTGGTCCGTTCGCATTTCTGTGGGGCGCTGGTCCGCATTTTTGGCAAACGGACAGTGCCAGAGACACTGGGTGGGCAAACCAGTGTCTCTGGCACTGTCCGTTTGGTGTTTTTAGGGGTTTGAGGGGTTGGAGGGAGGAGTTTCGGCGGTTTTTGTGCAAACGGACAGTGCCAGAGACACTAATTCAGCCAACCAGTGTCTCTGGCACTGTCCGTTTGGTGTTTTTCGGGGTTTGAGGGGCTGGAGGGAGGAGTTTCGGCGGCTTTCGTGCAAACGGACAGTGCCAGAGACACTAATTCAGCCAACCAGTGTCTCTGGCACTGTCCGTTTGGTGTTTTTAGGGGTTTGAGGGGCTGGAGGGAGGAGTTTCGGCGGCTTTTGTGCAAACGGACAGTGCCAGAGACACTAATTCAGCCAACCAGTGTATCTGGCACTGTCCGTTTCGTGTTCTTAGGGATTTGAGAGGCTGGAGGGAGGAGTTTTGGCGGCTTTTGTGCAAACGGACAGTGCCAGAGACACTAATTCAGCCAACCAGTGTATCTGGCAACGTCCGTTTCGTGTTTTTCGGGGTTTGAGGGGCTGGAGGGAGGAGTTTCGGCGGCTTTTGTGCAAACGGACAGTGCCAGAGACACTAATTCAGCCAACCAGTGTCTCTGGCACTGTCCGTTTGCATTTCTGTGGTGCTGGTCTGCATTTTTGGCAAACGGACAGTGCCAGAGACACTGGGTGGGCAAGCCAGTGTCTCTGGCACTGTCCGTTTGGTGTTTTTGGGGGTTTGAGGGGCTGGAGGGAGGAGTTTCGGCGGTTTTTGTGCAAACGGACAGTGCCAGAGACACTAATTCAGCCAACCAGTGTCTCTGGCACTGTCCGTTTGGTGTTTTTCGGGGTTTGAGGGGCTGGAGGGAGGAGTTTCGGCGGCTTTCGTGCAAACGGACAGTGCCAGAGACACTAATTCAGCCAACCAGTGTCTCTGGCACTGTCCGTTTGGTGTTTTTCGGTGTTTGAGGGGCTGGAGGGAGGAGTTTCGGCGGCTTTTGTGCAAACGGACAGTGCCAGAGACACTAATTCAGCCAACCAGTGTATCTGGCACTGTCCGTTTCGTGTTTTTAGGGATTTGAGGGGCTGGAGGGAGGAGTTTTGGCGGCTTTTGTGCAAACGGACGGTGCCAGAGACACTAATTCAGCCAACCAGTGTATCTGGCACCGTCCGTTTCGTGTGTTTAGGGGTGAGGGGCTGGAGGGAGGAGTTTTGGCGGCTTTTGTGCAAACGGACAGTGCCAGAGACACTAATTCAGCCAACCAGTGTCTCTGGCACTGTCCGTTTGCATTTCTGTGGTGCTGGTCTGCATTTTTGGCAAACGGACAGTGCCAGAGACACTGGGTGGGCAAACCAGTGTCTCTGGAGCTGTCCGTTTGGTGTTTTTGGGGTTTAGGGTTTGCTGGGTGGAGAGGTTTGGTTTCTTTTGTGCAAACGGACAGTGCCAGAGACACTAGTTCACCCAACCAGTGTCTCTGGCACTGTCCGTTTGCATTTCTGTGGTGCTGGTCTGCATTTTTGGCAAACGGACAGTGCCAGAGACACTGGGTGGGCAAACCAGTGTCTCTGGAGCTGTCCGCTTGGTGTTTTTGGGGTTTCGACAGCGGTGGGATTCGAGCCCGCGCGCGCAGGCTTGTAAGTCGCGCGCTTGACCGCTAGAGTAAGGGTTTGCTGGGTGGAGAGTTTGGGAGTTTGGGTTTCTTTTGTGCAAAAGGACAGTGCCAGAGACACCAGTTCACCCAACCAGTGTCTCTGGCACTGTCCGTTTGCATTTCTGTGGTGCTGGTCTGCATTTTTGGCAGACGGACAGTGCCAGAGACAGTGGGTGGGCAAACCAGTGTCTCTGGAGCTGTCCGTTTGGTGTTTTTGGGGTTTAGGGTTGGCTGGGTGGAGAGTTTTGGTTTCTTTTGTGCAAACGGACAGTGCCAGAGACACTAGTTCACCCAACCAGTGTCTCTGGCACTGTCCGTTTGCATTTCTGTGGTGCTGGTCTGCATTTTTGGCAAACGGACAGTGCCAGAGACACTGGGTGGGCAAACCAGTGTCTCTGGAGCTGTCCGTTTGGTGTTTTTGGGGTTTAGGGCTTGCTGGGTGGAGAGTTTTGGCTTCTTTTGCGCAAACGGACAGTGCCAGAGACACTAGTTCACCCAAACAGTGTCTCTGGCACTGTCCGTTTGCATTTGTGTGGTGCTGGTCCGCATTTTTGGTCAAACGGACCGTGCCAGAGACACTGGGTGGGCAAACCAGTGTCTCTGGAGCTGTCCGTTTGGTGTTTTTGGGGTTTAGGGTTTGCTGGGTGGAGAGTTTTGGTTTCTTTTGTGCAAACGGACAGCGCCAGAGACACTAGTTCACCCAACCAGTGTCTCTGGCACTGTCCGTTTGCATTTCTGTGGTGCTGGTCTGCATTTTTGGCAAACGGACAGTGCCAGAGACACTGGGTGGGCAAACCAGTGTCTCTGGAGCTGTCCGTTTGGTGTTTTTGGGGTTTAGGGCTTGCTGGGTGGAGAGTTTTGGTTTCTTTTGTGCAAACGGACAGTGCCAGAGACACTAGTTCACCCAACCAGTGTCTCTGGCACTGTCCGTTTGCATTTCTGTGGTGCTGGTCTGCATTTTTGGTCAAACGGACAGTGCCAGAGACACTGGGTGGGCAAACCAGTGTCTCTGGAGCTGTCCGTTTGGTGTTTTTGGGGTTTAGGGTTTGCTGGGTGGAGAGGTTTCGGTTCTTTGGTGCAAACGGACAGTGCCAGAGACACTAGTTCACCCAACCAGTGTCTCTGGAGCTGTCCGTTTGGTGCTTTTGGGGTTTAGGGTTTGCTGGGTGGAGAGTTTGGGTTTCTTTTGTGCAAACGGACAGTGCCAGAGACACTAGTTCACCCAACCACTGTCTCTGGCACTGTCCGTTTGCATTTCTGTGGTGCTGGTCTGCATTTTTGGCAAACGGACAGTGCCAGAGACACTGGGTGGGCAAACCAGTGTCTCTGGAGCTGTCCGTTTGGTGTTTTTGGGGTTTAGGGCTTGCTGGGTGGAGAGTTTTGGTTTCTTTTGTGCAAACGGACAGTGCCAGAGACACCAGTTCACCCAACCAGTGTCTCTGGCACTGTCCGTTTGCATTTCTGTGGTGCTGGTCTGCATTTTTGGCAAACGGACAGTGCCAGAGACACTGGGTGGGCAAACCAGTGTCTCTGGAGCTCTCCGTTTGGTGTTTTTGGGGTTTAGGGTTTGCTGGGTGGAGATTTTTGGTTTCTTTTGTGCAAGCGGACGGTGCCAGAGACACTAGTTCTCCCAACCAGTGTCTCTGGCACTGTCCGTTTGCATTTCTGGGGCGCTGGTCTGCATTTTTGGCAAACGGACAGTGCCAGAGACACTGGGTGGGCAAACCAGTGTCTCTGGAGCTGTCCATTCGGTGTTTTTGGGGTAGTTTTGGTTTCTTTTGTGCAAACGGACAGTGCCAGAGACACTAGTTCATCCAACCAGTGTCTCTGGCACTGTCCGTTTGCATTTCTGTAGTGCTGGCCTGCATTTTTGGTCAAACGGACAGTGCCAGAGACACTGGGTGGGCAAACCAGTGTCTCTGGAGCTCTCCGTTTGGTGTTTTTGGGGTTTAGGGTTTGCTGCGTGGAGAGTTTTGGTTTCTTTTGTGCAAACGGACAGCCCCAAAGACTCTGGTTTGACCAGTTAGTGTCTGTGGGGCTGTCCGTTTGCCCAACAAACTAATGAGAGTGGTGTCGTGGTTTGGGGTTTGGTATTTTTAAGGTTTAGGGTTTAGGGTCATAATCCAGAAGAGGTGCCAGGATGTCTAACGCCACACGCCTGTGATTGTGCACTGGCGGGTTGTTCATGCTTGACACCGTCACCGCCGCTTTCTGAGACGGTGTCTGACGAGGTTCCGGCTGCTCAGGTGTCTCACGGGCAGCCGGCTTCGCCTAGGCTGCCT